TGTGAAAAACACACACAAAAAAGTGCACTTAAGGGTGTGTCTCTAGTCCACGCCACTGAGAGGTAAGACTCTACCCTGAACCCCAGGATGCAAGGCTCCTGACAGGAGCAAGGCTCAACATGGTCCACCTAGCCAAAAGGCCAGGCGGACCCCTCTCCTAATAGTCAGCTGAAACTGACCATCAAGTACCAAGTGAGGGGCTCTCCCAAAGAGAGCACCCCCTCTCCCCCGTTCAGGGGAGGAAGGAACCTGCTGGCCACACATCCTCCCCCTAGACTTACATACCCCATCACAGTGAGAAAAAAAACACAGACAAAAGTGTAAAGTGACAAAATGTGAGCGAAAAATAAAATAAATAAATAGTGCCTGTGCTGGTGTACTGGCTAGGCCTTGCGGCCTGGTAACAAAAATTGCCAAAAGACCTAGCCCACGTAGGCACAATGCAAAAAAACTCAGGTAACTTTGTGCCTGTAAGTGTTACTAAGAGCACCCCTGGGGCACCCTGGGGCAATTAACTCCCAAGGGGTACAGACACAGTGGGTTCTCTGCACTTGATGTTAGCCAAAAGGCCGATAAGCAATTGCCAGGTTGTTCATAATTATCTCATTAGCACCACACTGGTTTTGGGTCCCTCAGCATCCCCTCTGTACAGGTGGGGGATGTTACAGCTCCTTCTCTCCTTTCGGCGCCCAGGGAGAGCTTGTACTGCCTGGTGGTCTGGCCCTGTTTTTTCTTTGCAGAATCTGGTGCTGCTGGTCTCTGCTTGTTGGCCTGGCAGTGCCATGTTTCTGGTGGCCAGAGAAATGTCCTCAGCCACATCCGGCAGTGTTTACATTGTTTCTGGAAGGGGCAGGACTTGCAGGTTGTCAATTCTGACAACAAAGACACAGGGGAGGAGGAAGGACCCAGCTGGTGCCTATTTCCAGTTCCAGTCTGGCGCCTTAACATCTCAGGACTACAGAACCAGCATTTAAGCCACACTTTTTTGCTGAAGGCTCTACATGATGGCAGAAACAGGAACCTTGACAGCGGTAGGGACAGGTGCTTTCAGCAACAAAGCCCAGGTAGGGATACAGTGTTGGTGTCTCTCTATGTCAGGCTTTCTTGTGTTTTTTTCACTCCTGGTGGCTGGGGCCTATCTGGGCACTGGGATTAGGCATGCAATATAATTAGGCACTGGAATTTGGCATATTTTTCAGTGCTCCTGTGTTTGTGGCAATTTGGGGACTATGGTACTTGTGGATCAGGGTCTCAGCTGGAGTTCCTTCTTTTTGTTTTCAGTTTAAGATCTCTGATAAAGATCAGGCCTCTGGGAAGCAGAAGTGCCCCTCATGCCCCTTAAAACTGGAGATTCTTGAAAAAAGCCATTGTGCGAAGGCTGTATTTCTCTCCTTGTTAAGGAAGAATCTTCGGCTGTTTGTAATGACCTAATAACCTAAGTCTAAAATGAGATCTGTGCCATTTTCCACTCCTTTCGCAGCATGCTATAGTGTATTCCCACCCCTCAAGCTTTTAGTTTTATAGAAGCTACGCCTCTATTAGTGCAGAGCCTGGGGGATCTTTCATGTAGGAAGTCCCCCTCCATCTCTCTCTGGGAATCTGATGAAGAGGAGGAGGAAGGTGTTTTTTTCAGACTCTAAATACAACCTAACTCATGAAGAAGTAGATGATTTTCTAAAAGAGGTGTATACCACAGTTTTCATTCAAAAAGAGAAAACAAAATTATCCTTACACAACGGTATGTACTTAGGTCTAGGACGGTTGTTTCCAGTTCATCCTCTTATTTATGAAAAGGGAATGACAGGAACGGGATAGAAAACTTTTTTCTCAAAATCCTCATAGGAGGAGATTCACGTTTGAGGAAGACTCAGCTATTTGGAATAACATGCCTAAACTAGATGCATTTTTTGCCCAGGTCTCCAAAAGTACTGATCTAGCTTTCGAAGACAAGGTCAACCAGACAGGCCATGGACAAGAGAATGGATCTACTGTTTATAAGATCCTGGTAGTTCATTATGTGGAATCTGAAGCGAGCTATGGCAACTATCTGAATTGTTAGAAACCGGTGACCAGACTATTAATTTCAACAACAAACTTCTCATAAGATTATATTGCATTCAACACATTTTATGCATGTTTATCACTTGTAAAAGTCTCCATTATATAGACCAGCCTTTCTCAACCAGGGTACCCAGGCACCCTGGGATGCCTTCAGGTTTCTTCAGGGGTGCCTTAGCAAAATGCTCAAAAAATTTATACAAGCCAGCAGGTGGATCAGCCATAAATTTTCATTGTGCACTTTTATGACCTTCTAGCTGCCAGCATCCTAACAACCAATGACATCATCAGGTAATAATGAGGACGTCGGGTGCATGCACATCATCCTTGTTTGGCCCTCCCCTGCCCCTCTCCATCAGCACTGGGGTTGCAATAGCAGAGTGAGGGAGAGAAAATGAGAGAGACACACTGGAATACTACTCAGTACCAGTGTGCAAAGGTGTATTTGCTTTGGAAGAATAAATCACCTCTAACATTGCGTGTACTGGATGGGTGTAGAATAGTTTTTTTACATTTTAGAATGGGGTGCCTTAATATTGTGCAGAATTTTAAAGAGTGCCTTGAGATTATCCATAATTTTAAAGGGTTCCTTGACTGAAAAAAGGTTGAGAAACACTGATACAGATATCCAAAAGCCCACCACCATCTTGGATGCATAGTTAGCAGCTGCAGGAGACTCAGAACTGTCTATCAAGTAATATTCTACAGCAGCTTTTCTCAACCAGGGTTCCGTGGAACATTAGGGTTCCTCCAGATGTTGCTAGAGTTCCTTGGGCTGTGGCTGGTTGATCTTCCATTTGATGCACAGTTCCAGGACCAACACCACTTGGTAGAACTAGCTGAAGGACACTAATGATTCATTTAGCTGTCTGTAACAGTGACCACTGCTGTAAGGGGGTATTCTTTCCAATGCCAACGAATGTAAGGAGCAATTTTCCCACTGACTCCTAATGAATTGGTTCCTCTGGGGTAAAAAGGTTGAGAAAGGCTGCTCTATTGTATTCGCTTCTTTCCCAGTAGTCACACAAAAGTTAATGTGGGGAGGCCGACTGACCATTTGGAAACTCGGGCACTGCCCGAGGGCCTGGGGTCAGTTGGGGGACCCATGAGATGCCCCTGGTACCTTTTTCATAGGCTTTTTTGAGTTTGGGCAAGGACACATGGGCCCCATGATCCCCTGTTGCCCGGGGGCCCCATGAGTTGTCAGTTCGCCCCTGGTGGGGAGGTGAACGGAGGGATGGATTTATAGAGCCAGTACGTAGACACTCTTAGAAGGGGAGAGGGCTATCACATGCACACAGGAAGGGGGCTGTGCTAAAAATATGACTCCTGAAGAAAGTCAAATTTGCTAGCACATTCAGGGGCACATTATAATTGAATAAAAAAATGTTTTGTGAAAAGTAAAACACTGCAAGCAAGTAATAGCTGATCTTGTGCTTGTGTGCGTGTTTAGTTGGGGCAGGGTTTTTTGTTTAAGTGCACTGAAACGTAGATTACTGCCATCACGAAGTTAAATCTCTCATTAGCAAAGATAATAAGGGTTCAACCACTATGCATTTTATCATTGCAAGTGTGTTAAAGCTATGCATTATCCAAATTTAGGGTGTGCTATTTAAATATTAGTATATCTAAACTCAAGAACAACAATGTAATATATTGCAGCTTACTAGTCCTTAGATGTGGTGTCTGCTTTTGTTTTCTTTTTTTTTCAGTCTAACTACATTTTCTGCAAGTACTGAATAATACCTGGTAATCTTGCCAGTCCTTATAACGTCCTGTGCATTGAACTGTAACCTCAAAAAACAATATCAGCCTTCCAGCTATCTCTGTGGACTACAGAAAACCACCCACCCACCCATGTAATAGGGATGATGAGAGGAAGAGGTGTTCACAGCCCAAATCAGTAGAGCTGCCTAGGGTGGCAACGCTGCTCCTTCACAGATACAGTATGGTTAGTGAGTGTTGCTAGCCTAGGACAGGAAGAGTGCTACCAGTAGAATCACCAGGTGCAGATAGGGACTGGTAAGCTGTAATATATTAAATTTTTGTTTTTGGGTTTAGATACATGTTAAAGCTATCTGTTAATCTTGAATGAGCTGGCAGTGCACTTTAAAGCAGAATTCCAGTTAAAAGTTTTATTTTCCCATGCAGTGGGCCCACACTGCATGGATTAGCTGCTCGATTTGTCCAGAGGCTCAGGGTAAATATATACTTACCAAGTCCTCCGATCCTCCGGAAAACTGTGCTCCCCCATCTCCAGTGGTGGACTGTTCCTGCCGTCTTCATGCCCGGAGCAGGTCTATGGGTGTGATGACGTCAGGAACAACCCATTCACAGGACCACTAGCATGCGGGGGGGGGGGCAGGAGCATCTTGCACTCAGAGGATCGGTGGATTAGGTAAGTATATCTCTGCTTACCGAGTCCATAGACAAAAATGAGCATTTAATCCATGCAATGCGGGCACAGCACCACTGCATAAGAAAATAATACTTTTGCCTGGAGTTCTTCTTTAACACATAAAAATAGAGATGTTTCATAGCTCAATTAGCAACTAAAATCACTAGTAAATAACTGTTAGGAGTAGCAATGTATCTATAAACAGATGGAACAAATGGCTGGCTATAGCAGAAGCTACACAAGTAGTATGTAGTAGTAATCGATATATTGCATGATCACAGTGCTCCAATCCCATGAGACTGATCACTACAGAGTACTACTGCATACTAGCATTACTTATAGGGAGCCATACAATACCAGATGAGTTACTGTCTGTGGCAGCTTAAAGTGCTCTGGCAATCCTTTGTCATATTTTAAATGCTTATCTGTAAAACATCAGTTTATAAATGCATACATTAAATACAGTAAAACTGACATAAAGTACTGTAGTCTCCTATTAAAAACATTTCATTTTCAGATTGAAGGAATATTGGCCCTATCGTACCTCTCTGGATGTTGGCTTCCCACGAAAGAATTCATGATTAAGAGAGCTGTGAGGAGGGTTGAAGCGTGGTTGCAGAAATACACAGCCATTGGCAACTGCTTCTAAGGGTGCAGGACCTTCATATGGGAAGCCAAAACCTATAAAGAGCTAAGGAGAAAAAAATGCAAAGTTAATGCACAGATAAGAATAATCATGCAAAAATATGTGATGTCAGATCAGCCAAAATTTTAAAAACAAACCTTTCAGCAATGTCTATAAAATCAAAAAGGAAGGGGTTGGGGGGGTTTCAAAAATGTCTTCACGACTTCAAGTCCGGACACTTTCACCCCCTTCCAGTGCAGGCCAATCTTCAGCTTTCAGCGCTATCACATTTTGAATGATAATTGCACGGTCATGCAACACTGTACCCAAATGAATTTTTTAGCATTTTTTTTGAGACAGATAGTGCTTTCTTTTGGTGGTATTTATTCACCAATGGGATTTTTATTCTTTTGCTATATAAATGAAAAAGTGTTTTTCTTATAAAAGTTTGCAAGTAAATAATCTTTCTTCATAAATCTTGGCCAAAATGTATACACCTATCTTTTTAGTAAAAAAAAATAAAATAACCCAAATTAGTTTATAACCAAAAATTATAATTTTTAAAAACATTTTTTACATTTTTATTTTTTTATATTATTATTTATGGGTTTTTTTTACATACTGTCACTTTAGCAGTACAGTGTCACCATAATGACACTGTACTACTTGTGGGGGTTGATGAAGATTTTTTTTTCTTTTTTCACACTGATTGCTTTTACACCCATAAAGGCTGTAAAAGCAATCATTTCTCCTTCTCTCTGGCTGCATTCCTGCAGCCATTGAGAAATACTGTGTGAGCTGTGATTGGTAAGAGCTTGTCACATGGTACAAGGTTGTTGTGAATAGCCTTGTACCATGTGACCTCTGTGATCCTTCACAGATTTCAGAAGTAGTAAGCAATGATGTCAGGAAGTGATATCTGGTTTACTACTGTTCATGTGATTACTGTTTGGCCAATCAGTGATCACATGAATTGGGACCTCGCATAGAGGTCTTGTACAGCGATCTGTGTACCGATCGTGGCGCAGCGTGCTCCCGGGGAGTGCACACAGGCAATGGATACGGGGGGAAGTTTAGAAACATCCATCCACATCGGCAGAGCTCCTGTCCAGCCCATGTCAATAAACGGTTTAAAAATGAAAACCAACCCTCCACTTAGACAACTTAAATGACTAAAATAACTATAACATGATGTCAAAACTTTTATGAAAAAAAAGTATATATATTTGATCATTTTTATTTTTGGGCTATAATAGTCTTCTAACCAGGCTAGAGGCATGGGTCCTATTAAACGTTTAACCAGCCCAAGGGACGGAAACTGCTGGGGGTGTTAGATCAACAAGCTTGCTTACAGAGCAAATTTTAAAAAAATGTTAATAAGTAACCTGATTGACCAATGAGAAGGAAGATTACACCCTCTCAGTATGTTTTATGAGTATGTTGTCTGCCACTAAATATAATTGCTGGTTAGGTAGACAGGAAGCACTTCATTGACAGGATGACAATGATTACAGCTCATCATCTGAGGGGGGGCGCACTTCATTGAAGCCAGGGCACACAGCTTCAACTGAGAAGACAAACTCCACCCATTAATTGGCAGGCATCTTATGAGAGTCTAACTAGTAATAATTTTAGAGACTATAACCTCTGGTGGAACTATAATTTCTATTTCTCATATTGATTTTACTGTTTGCAATTTGGTCATTTTAATTTGCCGTATTGGCATAACTTTAGATCGGGGGTCGGCAACACCGCGGGGAGCCAACAGGTCGATCATGACCCCAGTTCTGCCTCCCCCCAGCCTCCGCCGATCTCATGTTATAGGCAAAGCGGAGAGCAGGAGGCAGCATAATGCTGGATAGAAGGCGGGATCAGGGGCGGAAGCTGCTCAGTTACTGGTTGCTAGGCTGTCCTAGCAACCAATCACCAGCTTGGCAGCTCCTGCTCCCGCCTTCCACCCAGCACTGTGTTGTCTTCTGATCTCCACTCTGTGTGTGTGTGATATGAAGGGGACACAGGAGACACTATGGGGGAGGGCGGTCTTAGGAGACACTGTGGGAGGGGGAACACAGGAGACTCTGTGTGGGGGGGCTTAGGAAACATTGTGGGAGGGGGAAGAGGACACTGGTTTGGGGGGGGGTACAGGACACTACTGGGGGGGAGGGGGCAGAGGATATGACAGTGGGGGGGTGTGGTGTGAAGGGGGGCAGGGGACACAGTTTTGGGAGGTACAGGACACTACTGTGGGGGAGGGGGGCAAATGACACAGCATTGGGGGTACACGACGCTACTGTGGGGGGCAGAGAACACTACAGTGAGGGGGATGATGAAAAGGGGGACAGAGGACACTACTGTGGGGGGTGATGTTTTTGATTTTTTATAAGGGCGCAGCCTAGAAACCCCCCCCCCAGGGGATCTTTGCTTTACTCCATGTTGTCCAGGTAGACCTCAACCTCTGAAAGGTTGTCTACCGCTTTAGAAGAACTTCACTCGGTAATTCAACTGCAGCGGGTTCTCAGGTCAACTCAGTTAAATGCAGATTATTATCTGTCAAATTTTATAAAAATAGGTTAGGATATCTACAAAAGGGGAAATTAAATATTTAGTTTAATCCAAAGTATCTACCAAGGTGTTAGCAATTCATTATGAAGATAATCTAGTGTCTGTGTCTGTGTCAATTTATTAATCAAACTGTTAGTGGTGTTTGTAAAGTGGATTATTGTAAATAAATATAAATTTATTTTCATAGTCTGTAATCTATACTTACACCGATCTTGTTGTGTTATTCAAGGAATTTCTGCATAGGCAAAGGAATTTGGGAATAACTAATTCAGTTAAATTATTTTTAGAAATTTTGCATTGGAGGCCCTGTGGTTCATCGATTGATTAAACAATTGATTTAGCTGACCAAATTAATTGTTCAGACATTCTTTGACAATGACCTGTCACAAACACAGAAGCAGCCAATATTTGCTAAAATCTTACTGTATTGGAGATTTTAGTGACTGGGTTTACATACTGTATACTTAAAAGGGAAGAAGAACAGATATCCAGGGATCAAAGTCCCCAAGACAGTCTCAAGCAAGGTTCATAGATCTGTTGATGAATGTCCTTGAGACAAATTTTGCAAGGACCTAATATTAAATAATGCAGCAAGGGACATCATGAAGTAGCAATTTGCTGGCAGAACAAGTAGGGCTGATTCTTCTTCCTTACTAGGGATTTCTAGATTTGGAAGACCCCTATACAAGTCCGATTCTTCTTATCTTTTATCTCTGTCATGAAAAAGGACATCTAGTTCTACCAATAGAAAAAAAATAAACAAATAGAAAACCTCCATATACCCACAGTTGATCCAGAGGAAAGCAAAAAAAACCATACAAAATGCATAGTCTGGCTCCATCATGGGAAAAAAAAGTCCTTCCTGATCCCCCAGGAGGCAATCAGAAATTAACTGGATCAACAATCTCTGGTGCTAATACCTATAAATGTTGTCAATAATATTTTGTGCATTTAGGAATTCATCCAGCTCTTTTTTAAACAATCTACTGAGCTGGCCAGAACTTGTTTAGAAGGAGTCTATTACAAATTTTCACAGCTCTTACTATGAAGAATCCTTTCTGTGCATGGAGGTTAAATCTTTTACTCCATGTGTAAACAGTGTCCCCTTGTCCACTGTAATGACCTCTATACCAAGGTTACTAAATGGACCACCTATATTCTTATACATGGTAACCATATCTCCCTTTAATTGCCTCTTCTCAAGGGGGGATAAATTCAGTTCAGTGAATCTTTCCTCATAGCTGAACTCCTCCACTGCATGCTATTAGGTCTATGATCTACCAGGACACCCAAATTCTTCTCAATCATTCACTCCTCCAGCTGTTTTCCTCCAGAATGTATGATGCATGCATGTTTTTAGCCCCAAAGAAACCTCCTGTAAAGGCATTATTCAACTACGTTGCTTGGTGTCATCTGCAAACACTAAACCTTGGGGTATGCCACTAATAACCTTAGACCATCCATGAATCATTAACCACTACTCTTTGTCTTTTAGCCAATTTTGTATCCATTTACAAAAGAAATCATAAAATCAAAAAAGAAACCAAGTTTGTTAGACAACTTCACTCAAAAGTTTGTTTTGTAGCAAAAACTCTTTTATGTGGTCTTTTGTTAAACGCTCAAGCACCTTCTCAACTATAGAAGTTAAACGAACTGGTCTGTAGTTACTTGGTAAAGACTCTGATCCCTTTTTAAATATAGGCACCACATTGGCCATTCCAGCAATATCCAGCGATACCACGCCTGTTTTTAATGAGTCTCTTAAAATGCTAAATAATGGCTTTTAATAACAGACCTCAACTCTTTGAGGACACATGGGTGTAGGCCATCTTAACAATTCTTGTTAAGGGACCAAAAGTAATGGGACAATTGGCTTCTCAGCTGTTCCATGGCCAGGTGTGTGTTATTCCCTCATTATCCCAATTACAACGAGCAGATAAAAGGTCCAGAGTTAATTTCAAGTGTGCTATTTGCATTTGGAATCTGTTGCTGTCAACTCTCAAAATGAGATCCAAAGAGCTGTCACTATCGGTGAAGCAAGCCACCATTAGACTGAAAAAACAAAACAAACCCATCAGAGAGATAGCAAAAACATTAGGCGTGGCCAAAACAACTGTTTGGAACATTCTTAAAAAGAAGGAACGCACCGGTGAACTCAGCAACACCAAAAGACCTGGAAGACCACGGAAAACAACTGTGGTGGATGACCGAAGCATTCTTTCCCTGGTGAAGAAAACACCCTTCAGAACAGTTGGCCAGATCAAGAACACTCTCCAGGAGGTAGGTGTATGTGTGTCAAAGTCAACAATCAAGAGAAGACTTCACCAGAGTGAATACAGAGGGTTCACCACAAGATGGAAACCATTGGTGAGCCTCAAAAACAGGAAGGCCAGATTAGAGTTTGCCAAATGACATCTAAAAAAGCCTTCACAGTTCTGGAACAACATCCTATGGACAAATGAGACCAAGATCAACTTGTACCAGAGTGATGGGAAGAGAAGAGT